TTTGAAATATATAAATCTGTATCAGTTTCTAGTATGTAGTGTAACATAATTTAATTTAAAAATATCTGCTACTTGTATGATTCTTTAGTATAACCAAATATCTATAAAAGTTTGGGACTCCATACTATAATGAGCTAAGTAAGTTAGTACTGTATAATTTGAAATAGACTGTCAAAACAGATGTGATACTTTTGATATTTGAAGACACATACCTAAGACCTTTGCCCCTTGATTTGGTCCTTCTGGAAGAGGCCATTCTGGGGTAGAATGATTTCCTCTAAGTATGATCTGTAATTCTCCTTTAAAAGGGTTATCTTCCCAGCCACCAATTAATCTACCTCCCTGAAGTAAAACAGAAAATTGTTAACACTTAAAAAAATGGGCAGAAAAAAATTTCACTCATATAAAGGGAAAAGGGAATTAAGAAGTCACTGGATCCTTATTATATAAGTCTTTCAACTGGAAGTGACTTTAACCCATTTGCCTTAGGATAATCTACATGCTTTTTCCAAAGTCAGTCAAATCTGCTTACTGTCAGAGTTGGACCCAAAATTAGATCTCCTAAGACCTAAACTAGCTGTGTTTGAGGAGATCACACTGCATGTTCTTCTATCTACACTAACGATTTATGAATTTTTATTGCTAATACTGATGACTATCATTAGATACTTGCTGACTATAGGTCAAGCTAAAGTGAGACTTCATATACACTAATTATGTAGTTGTCCTTCATACTAAATTAAGGCTACATCTAAATTCTTATTTCATAGGTGATAAAACTGACACTGCAATAAAAGAGTTCAAATAAATTACCTGAGGTTACCCAACTAATAAAGAGTGAAGTAAGGATTTAGTTGTAGCTTTAATTTACCTTAAAGCCCATATATTGGACCAAAATATTGCACTCTTTAAAGCACCAAACACAGTTTCTTCACTTTATCTGTTTATAAGGAAAAGCTACTAAATGCTTTTTGATAGACTACTTTAATGAATTCTTTGAGAATTCGATACAGTGTATTTTGATCCTATTCATTCTCCATTCCTCCACCAGCTCCTCCTAGATCCATGCCCCTCCTCACCCCTGGCAATTTCATGTCCTTTTTATTTTTTAATAACCCACCGGGTCTAGTTTGTACTGCCCATATAGTCATGGGGATCAGACATTTGGCCAAGAATTTGGGAGCTCAGGCCCCAGGGGAGAACCCACTATCATTATTTTGCTGAATGGACATAGTACCAAACTGTCCTCTAAATTTGTATCTCCATACCCATAGATTAGCGAAGGTCATCAGACAACTTTCTTTGGGTAATAAATACTTTTTTAAAAAAGTCCTTAATAGATTTTTGTCTAACTATTCTTTTCGTAAATAATAATAAAGGGTGATAGAACAACTAAACTGATTTTGTTATTACATGTTCAAGGCCACCTGAGGTTCATGAAAGAATGGGGTGACTGTTCCAAACAATTAAAGCATTTTATTAGTCCACTTTTGCTTTTATATTTTTTCTATATCCATCTGTTTTTAAGAAATACTGTGTTTATTTCTTTTAAAATGTTTTAAAATTTTCTCCCCAGAACTCCTAAGGATTTGGTGTTTGTTTGTACAAGCTCACTGTTTAGCTTTACCTAATAATAATATGAATATTTTAAGTAGAAAACCTTATACTCAAGAGTATCTTGATAATTTTTTCATAATTCAAAGAACAGAAATATACTGGATGTAACTGACACATGCAACTGACCCTTGCATTTTCTAGACTAGAGCAGATAGATAGGCAGGTAGATAAGTGATGATAGATAGATGATAGATAGATAATAAATAGATGATAGATAGATGATAGATAGATAGATAGATAGATGATCTCTTGTTACAATTTCCATAAATCTTCAAGGCAGGAATTGATTAATAAGATTAATGAAATAAAGTATAAGACCTCATTCTTACCTGCACTGATATATAGGTAGCATTCAAAACAACTCTTCTGTGAGAAGACTCTCCATCTCCCACCTCAGATTTATCTTCCAGCTCTAGAACTCCCCAAATAATGAGCCTTTCCATTGGAGGCATATCTGTGTCAGCTACAATCCACGTTCCTGTAAAACAGTAAGAAATATAACGTGATCCATAGACTGCAGCCAAATGCAAAACACTGACAGGCTTTCCAGAGGGTCTTGTTTTTGAAATTTGTGATTCTTTTCCACACAATGATTCCTGTCTCTTCTAGAAAATATGCTGTTGTGTTTTTGCTGTTGTTCACTTGTTTTGAAAAAGTATTGCTATTTTTCTAAAGTTTTTCTTGAACTTCTGGCCTGAAGAGTACTCCTTCCTGTATCTTTTGAGTAGCTGGGAAAACAGGCACATAGCACAGCACTAAGTCAATGTTATCATTAAATAGCTTTAATTCCATGTAAAATTAGAAAGATAACACTTCATATTTAGGACAGTACTAGAACCCATTTCTTCATGGTTGCTCTTTCCAAGGTGTAATGTTTAAAGGCAGAAACATAACTATTGAGGAATCCATTATGTCACATATTAATGTTACCCAAATATGGGCATTTTACCTATTTATATTTTTATGTTTACCTTCAGGAATGACCACATTTGCTCCTGGGTGAGGTACAGTATAATTGTTTTCTCTAGATGATTGCCAAAAAGAGTCATTTGACCATAAACTGAAAGGAAAGTAAATACATCCATTAATCATCATCTCTGTATATTTAAAGAGCACCTCCTTAGCATTATACTAGGTGTTTTTTTTGGGGGGGGGGGAAGTGGAAGCATGTGAATTTGGTAGTTTATAATCCCATGAACCAGACAAATTAATATAAACAATTAGCAGTATTAATGAACATACACAAACTACATATGTTGTTTTTTTCTATTGAATAAAACTCCTCTTTACAATTTAAATTGCTGCCTCCAACTAAATCCTTATTGTGATACATGTTAATTTCACCATAATGTGAATTCTATTTCTTTATAAGATTTGACCTGGTAGAAAATTGAAAGCAATGCATTCATTGTCTATTTAAAGACCTCTGGCACATGGAGCTATTTCATAGGGAAAGCACTGGAAGACAGAGTTGGATAGATTCTGTGAAGGAGAGAACATGAAGAATGATCTCTGGATTCCCAGGGATAAATTAATTGATGAGGTTATGCCCTGGACAGTGGCAGGATGGGAAGATGGGGTCATAGGCCTGTTGCCAGAATGAAGTTTATTACATTGAAATAAGCATGAAAGTGCACAGGAAAGAAGCAGTTTTGCCCTATCATTATGGCTTCTTGGAAGTATCTGTTAATGCAAATTATTATAAAGGATATGATCATGAAGTGGATGATAATCAGATTTTTCTGATCCAGTAAAAACTTTAAAGACTCTGTGATACTAATTCTGGAATCTTACAAAAGAATAGCACATAGTTTGTTTGTTTTAAAAGTGTATTTTAACTACATAATTGTATTGGTAAATTATATTGCTAAATAATCTGTTGATAAAATCCCTCTATAAACATAACCTCAATGAATTTTAAAATAGTAATGAGTTGTTTAGACTAAAATTAATTATTTATTAATCTGAAACCATTTTAATTCAGAGTTGTAGCTACCTAAGTAAGCATTCTTATCAGCACTACACACATGAAATAATGGATTTTATTTAATTTTTCTTCATGATAACTAACGATTTTCCTCTTGTCCCTTGTTATACCCTGCTCTCTACCAATAAAAGTAAGTCATGCTGGTCAGGGTAAGTTTATGCATCTTCCTTTTCTCCACTTTCCTTTGTAGGACACACCAAAGATAATCCTCCTGAAATGTAATTTGGCATGTGTGACTTCTCTTTTCAGTGTGATCCACAAGTTTCCCTTTTGTCTATCTACAGCCCCATGATATCAGTGTTTGGTCTACTTGTACCAGTCCCAGTACTGTCTCCAAAGGACTACCCTTTTTTCACTAAGCCCAGCCTCGATGAGTTTCTCTTGGGGCTTAGACATGATGCACTTTAAAAAATAGTTTATTCTTTTTATTATATGTGTCTGAGTGTATTGCCTGCATGTATGTAAGTGTACCCGTGTTGTGCAATGCCCACGGAGGTCAGAAAAGGGCGTAGGATCCCCTGGAACTGGATTTAGAAATGATTGTTAGCAGTCATGTGGTGCTGGGATTCAAACCCAGGTCCTCTGCAAGAGCAGTCAATACTCTTAATGGCTGATCCACCTCTCCAGCTCCCATATGAACTTTTTCTTACAAGAGGACCTCTGCACAGGTCATTCTCTGGCTCTTGAATACTCATCTCCCACCCTACACACGGCAAGCTCTTCCTCATCCTTTGACCTGTGTCTTATATGTCCATTTCTTTGACAGGTACCACCCTCCCCAGAGGCAGTCTCTGCTATGTAGTTATTTGTCCTAGTCATTTTACAACACTGATAACAATGTACACTCATGCACTTTTCTTTCATTTTAAAAATAATTTATTTTTATGTGTGTGTGTGTGTGTGTGTGTGTGTGTGTGTGTGTGTCTGACCTATGTGTGGGTGCCTGCAGAGACCAGAATAAGGTGTTCAATCCCCTGGACCTGGAGTTACACATAGTTCTGAGCCACCCAATATGAGTGCTGGGAACCAAACTTGGGTCCTATAGGAAAGCAGTAGATGCTGTTAACAACTGAGTCATCTTGATAGTCCCACACTTTTCTATTCACTTATTTATTTATATATTTGCTTGTTCTGTTGTCTGTCTCTTTGGATAGAATGTGAGCATAACAAGGCCAGAGGTTGTGCTAGAATCCCCAGTGACTGACAAAGAACAGGTATTTTTAACAGTTGAATGAAATATAAATAATTTGGATTATTATCATTTTGTATAGTAACCATTGAAATATCTATAAATTTCACAATGCAATTCACTAATAAATATTGCTGAGTTGTGTTTGATGCACAGTAGTGGGTTAAGTACCTACTAAATGTTAGGGTTTTTTTTTAAATCATAAACATCATCTTTTATTTTTATTATTCGTCAGTCACCAGTTCAAATACACACTAAATCAAGATTAAGCCTTTAAGAGTGTTTGGAAGTAGTACTGAAATTTACTTAAGAGAGTAATCATGGAAACTAATTAAATAATAATACAAGACACAAAGTGATGTTTCATATGGTAAACAAAGGTAAAGAGCTATGCTGTATAAGCTTAAAAGACAGAGAAAAATTTTAACCAGAAGAATCCAAGTTTACTTGAGATAAAATATTGGAAAGTTGTGTTATGAATTTGATATGATAGCCAGAGAAATCCATACCACCTACTAAGACAACTTTTTTATTTTTTTAATTTAATATTATTTATTATTTTTATTTTATGTGTATGAGTGTATTGCCTGAATGTATGTGAGTGCACCCATGTTGTGAAATGCTGTGGAGGTCAGAAGAGGGCTTTGAATACTCCTGGAACTGGAGTTAAGGACAGTTCATAACCACTATGTGGGTGCTGGGAATCAAACCTGGGTCCTCTGCAAGAGTAGTCAGTGCTCTTAACCACTGAGCCATCTCTCCAGCCCCTAAGATAACTTTTTATTAATGAGGAAACTTAGTTTCTGGTGCTGAACTGGGCATGCCAATGTGAGTTCTATGAACCCAGGAAACTCAATTATGTTACTGGGCCTCAGCTTTCTGACCTATATAATAAGGGAGCTGGGGCAGGTCTAATCATTAAAATTAGCATCCTAGAAGTGTAAGACTACCATAAACTTTCACACCCAATTCTTATGAGACTTTTCTATTTTCTCACGGAGACTGTATTATAAAGCAAAGTGTAGATGAATTTTGTGAACCAAAAGGCACTGCCAGAAGAAAGCATTATCATCTTGCACAGAAGAAATTTATGAGAAAGATGCTGTAAGAGGTATCTATGGTATTATCTGAAGGAGGCCTACATACATGTAAGCAGCTGGTCGCCTCCTGGGAATCGGTTTTCTTGATGTGGGATGTACAGGAAAGCAATCCTGGAGAGTACAACAGTAAGCCTGGAAGTTAATAACCACATCTTTCACATCAGGATCTAGGGCCCCAGATATGGGCTGGCTATCATGAAGGTCACTTCTTCCTGACACTGGAAGTAAAGTAAATGTGGTTCAAATTAACATGATGATTCAAGTACTTAAATGTAGATAAAGTCATAGCATTTTGGAAAAATCATCTAGACAGAAATAGGGACTATATATTGAGAAATCCCCACAAGATTGATTATTAAGAAGCAGATAGCCCAAATACCTTGACAAAAATGTAATTAAATGATGAAAATAGGAATGAGATATACGCCAGCTGCCATTATAGTTATTCCCTCTAATTCTGTGAAATAAAATTATCAGGACTATATGTAATTTCTATTAATGTTATCTTCAAAAATAAAACAAGTCTTAATTAAGCTCAAGGCCTTTTCTAGCATAAATTTAAGGTCCAATTTTTTATTCAACAAATACTCATTAAATTCTGATAATACAGGACACTGTATAACTTACTTGTCTAATAGGAAGATTTTCTTGTCCTTAGAAAATCATTAGAAAAAGTAATCCCTTCTGCCTAGTGAATACATACCCAAGTAGTAGAGAGTGCTAGTGTTGGCTTCCAGATGCCAGTCTCCATTCTTGCTAGTGTTCCAGTTCAATGGATTTGAGGAACCATTCCTCATATCAATAACATTAAACATATCAGGATTTTGAGTAAAGTTGTGTGATATAATTACATAGTCTTCTTCCTAAAACGTTTGAAGAAAAATTTGTCTTGATTTGTATGTGAATTTACTGCATGTTAAGCATTAATTTTAATGTTCTATAATTAGTGTATAGAATATGTACAAGGAAAGTTTGGTTCCAGTTTATCTTCCACTTTGCATTTATGTTTTAACATTTTACACTTGTGAGCCATTAAGGTAATAAAAGGATCTCCCTCTCTTATACATGAAATATTTTAAACAATGTTAAATAGAGTTTATGGACCACACAAACACATAAGCTGAAGAAAATGTATAAGAGCAAACCACCCAAATCAGGATTCTGGCTGCAGTTACCTAAGACTGGAGATCTGAGATCAGGGTAAATGAAACAAGGCTTCATATTTATCTATAAAACTTTTATTTCTTTCAAAGATAAAAAATATTCACAGACAATTAGGTAGAGCTAGGTGGTGGCTGTATTACATTGCATTTTATAAATGATTTTCTTTATTTACTTCATGATACAAATAAGGGTGTAACCAATGCCTGGAGTATTATAAACACTCAATAAACATACATTATTACCAATGACCAAGGCAGAAACATAGCATTGTGTGAATATGGCAGGAAGATTGCTTGCTTATGATTTATATGAGGCTAAAGCTTACTTCTTGAATTTAGAGTGATGGGTCATGAAGGGTACATAAGACTTTAATCAGTCAATTTGTGAGCTAAGGACATTCTGGCTTTAATAATGAGTGAGTAAAGGCCTAGGGAGATGGCTCAGAAGATAGGAGTGCTGGCTGCAGAAGCATGGGAACTTGAGTTCAAATTACTTCACCCAAGCAAAAGGCCAGTATGACCCATGTATGGTGGTTTGAATGAGAATGTTCTTCATTAGTATTTGACCATTTTGTCCCCAGTTAGTGGCAATGTTTTGGGAGGTCTTATAAAGTGTGCCCTTATTGTTGGAATCACTTTACTGTGGATGGGCTGAGAGAGTTCTTAAGCCTTTCCTGATCTCCAGTCACTCTTTGCTTCCTGTGCCTCCTTGAAGATGTGAGGGCTCAGCTTCTGCTCCTACTCCAGCCACCTCTGCCACCATGCCTCCCTGCCATGATGGACTCTTGCCCCTTCAGAACCTTAAGCTAAATAAATTCTTCCTTTTATAAGTTCCCTTGGTCATGGTGTTTTATCACAGCAACACAAAAGCAGCTAAGATAAAAATATTGTGCTGAATAGCTTTAGTTGTCAACTTGACACATATGGGTAAAGGGTTTGGTCTCAGTTCAGGAATTTTCTCCATTGGACTGGCCTAGGGCCTTGTCTGTGGGGCATTTACTTGATTTTTGAGTGATGTGGGAGGGCCCAGCTCACTGTGAGTGTACCACCTCTGGGAAGGTAGGCCTGTATTGTACAAGAAAGGTTGAGCACCACTGGCCAGGGGAGCAATTCAGTAAGCAGCATTCCTCCATGTATGGCCTGTGTTTTCAGCTCCTGCCTCCAGGTTCCTGCCCTGAGTTCCCACTTTGGACTCCCTCAGTGATAAACTGTGACCTGGGAGATGTAAGCCAAATAAATCCTTTCCACCCAAGTGGCTATTTGTTAGAGTGTTTAGTTGCAGCAATTGAAAAGAAACTAGAACGTCATGGTACCCATGACCCAGTGCTACAGAGGGGAGAGACGGGAGGACTTCTGGGGTTTACTGGCCTTTAGCCTGGCCCCAGGTTTAGTGAGATAGCCTGTCTCAAGGGAATAAGGTGGAGAGCACTCAAGAAGGACACAGGTGTGCACATACACATACACATACACACACACACACACACACACACACACACACTATATATATATATATACTACACACACACACAGACACACTCACACACTCAAAAGAAAAAAATGGATATGTAAAGACAAGAATGTGCACTGCTCTTTTATACTTCGTATGTTTATACTTCATAGCTTTTTTTTTTCACCTTAAATCCATAGAATGTTGATGTGTAGGATACCACACACACACAGACACACTCACACACTCAAAAGAAAAAAATGGATATGTAAAGACAAGAATGTGCACTGCTCTTTTATACTTCGTATGTTTATACTTCATAGCTTTTTTTTTTCACCTTAAATCCATAGAATGTTGATGTGTAGGATACGTTGGTTAAGTGATCCACATCTTTAAAATACCAGTTAATGTGATTTGCATTTGGAATCAGAGCCATCCATCCAGACATATGAGTCAGCCGTTTCTTCTGAAAGGGAACAATGCTAGTACCTAGAGGACATAAAACAGGCAAGTAACAGTACTCTCCACTTCTATGAAATTCCTTCTTTTTTGAGCATATGAAAAGTGTACAATAGTGGTTTAGTCCATGGGAGTCTCTAAGGAGGCATTTCATCATGTTCACAATGCTTTTAACTGAAAGCCTCAAATGTTTAATGTTACATTTAACTGGACCAAAAATGCCTCCTTACTTAGCATTTTAAATCAGAGATTTTATTCCTCATAGAAACACATAATTAAAACAGGTGACAATTACAAATATGAATACAAAAAGTATTAAATGTATAAGTAAAAGTTAAAATCATTGAACTAGACATAATTTCACTTCCAATCAAGAATATATTCTTCAGAATCCTTGGTTTTAAGAGTTCATAAATATGTTATGATTCTTTATTTGTATCATTTCTTGGTTCACCTCCAACTCACAGAGATCTGACTGCTTCTGCCTCCTGAGTGCTGGGATTAAAATCTTGTACCACCATGCTTGGCCCCTTCTATTTCTTCTTAGTATTTGTTATCGAAGGAAAAATATTTTCTTGATATCAATAAATAATAGTAAAATATTTTGTTTTAACTATATCTATATCACTCTATATCAAAATAAAATTTTAATTGATATGACCATATATTCTGTAATTTACTTTCCATAAGTGATTTGTACACATTAGCTTAATTTCATGAGGTGTGACCATTAATTATCAGTTGCAAATATGCTACCTGTGATCAATAACCACTACTTGCTTATAACATCATTTGAAATAAAAGAAAAAATCAAAACACAAAAATTATGCAATTTAGGGTACTTGATAACTGCAGCAGAAGATTTGAAAATGTTTCTTAGAATATCAAGAAAATACTTTTGATTAATAACCCCTATTTTTCCTCTCTTTTCTTTCTCTTTTAATCTTTAAATGGGTTTGCACAAAAATAATGACAGCCTAAAAATTTAGGAGGAAGATTATAAAATAAACAATTTTATTTGTAAATAAGGCAGGCAAAATTTCAAAAGTTCCAATACCAAGCAGAAACAAATTCATTAAGCTCATGAGTTAGTTTTAGAAGGGCCCTGAGCAGTTGCATTAAAAGCTCATATTGCCTGAAAGATGCCTAGCCCTAAGTGACACATCTGCAGTGGAACCTCTATACCTAAGGCTCCTGGACCTCAACAGAATAGAGGGTAGAGAGTATGCTAATGCATCCCACAACTCTCATCATCAAAGCTTCCTCATACAACAAAGTGTGACGCATACAGAAGACCACAACTGGTCAAGTTTTAAAGAATAGAAGATAGCAGAGTGTGTGTCCCTGGATAGGACTCCTCTATTAAACCTCACCCACCCACAGCTCAGGGATCATTGTGGAAGGGGGGCGGATAAGAGTCAGAAAAAAATTAAAGGCTCGTATTGCCCAAATCACAGAAAATATGAGTAGAACTGTGATGGTTTGAGTTGTTGTACACAGAGATTTACTTCCCTCTCCTCCTTGAGAGCAAAGTGGAATTCCCAGCTTTGTTCATGTTGACTGACTTCTTTGGGCCAATGGAGTCTCCGAGAACTGACACTAGCAGAAGCTTGCAAAGAGCTTTCTTACCCAGGCACAGCCTCTTAAGCTTCCAACATAACCCAAGAGCTTCACTTCATTTCTGTGTCATGAGCTCCAGATAAAAGACACCTGGAGTAACCTCAACCTCCGGGAAGGAATGTGGTACAAATATTTCGTTGAGAAAATATTTGCTTTAGCTATGCTTTGACTATTTTGCACAATCTTTAGTCAATCAGAACAGTGTATGGAAAAGTTCATTCATTATAGACAAACGTTAACTTGTATAGACCACACATGGCTTATAATGGCTGAAAATTAATATTATAATGGTACATCATAATAATGATAAAATTATCACCAATTGCTTATGTGAGCTATTCATGACATTGTTATAAAACAGACTTTGTGTTAAGGTGAGTTTTCCTAGCTAGAGGCTAATGTAAGTGCCTGGACATGTTTAAAGTAGGCTAGACTAAGCTGTCCTGTTAAGTATTTTAGATGTATTAAATGAGTTTTCAGCTTACATTTTCACATTGTAACAGGCATACAACTCCATTGTAAGTCAAGGAACACCAGTAATTTCTAAATAGTTGGATAAATTGATAGGTACACTAATAAAAGTTAGATATGCAGATTTGAGGCCCCAGGGATAGGTCAAAATAAACCTTTCTTTATATAAGTTGATTATCTCAAGGTTTTTGTTATAGTAATGGAAAGCTGACTAACAGACTAATAGCTAAAAGTAATCTTAAATTTATGAAGGGGGCATAGATATTAATATATCAATCTAAGATTTGTAGCATATGAGAATCAGGCTTACTACCACATCCCAATTTAACTTTCTTTTTATTGAAAAATAAATGCCAAATTAAATCATGAATAATGGCAGTAAATTAACACAACCTAGTTAAGTGATGGTGGCAAGCATATGTGATATTCCAGGTGTAGTATCATTACTGCCACAAATCAACAATCTTCAACACCTGGAATGTAGCTACCAATCAAGTAAATGTTTCCCAATCCATCTCATTCAGTGAGCCTTCAGTGATAGGAACAGTGTTATATTTTACTGTCTTGTCCCAAGCATTTTGCTAACTTTCCTGCTCTGTCAAAATATGTCTTAAGGTTCCTCAGCCAACAGAAATGATGCTTGTTCATGCATTTGTTTAATTTCCCTCAAGTACTCACTTGAGTATCTTGTTTCTACCTGGAATATGGCTGCTTTAAATACGCTGCTTGTAATGTTCAAAACATCAAGTATTAATCTAAGAAGATGGTGATAAATTTTAGGAAAACATTTAAATTAATAGTTTAGAGTATTTTTATTCACTTACCAAAAGAGTCTGAGAGAATTACATCTTTTTCAAGTAGAGATACAGGAGAAGGCTTGTTGAATGCTAAACGATGGAAACTGACTGAGGCATCACAGACAGACCCTGGAAAACCAACGCTCCACTCAGCCTCTTGAGTGCAATGTGATGGGTCTAGTAACGAACTGTGTGGAATGACAGTGTGTCCTTTGTGCCCTGGGAAAAGAACACAAGCAGCATGATTTCTATTTTACATAAGAAAAGCAATAAAACTGTCCTATGCTGATAGGTTCTATGATCATAGTTTTACTAACAAAATGTAGAAACATTGTTAGATGTTTTTGTTTGCAAGGGACAAGGATGCCTCATACAAGGTTTTGTAGTGGACTTTTCACTCAGGGGCTCAACACAACATATGTGAAACAGAGGACCTCAAACATCCATGAGAATCATGGTAAGAGATGGGAAGTGGGACAAGGAACTTAGTTAAGGATGCATAGAAGGATTCAAATCTGAGCAGTTTGATCATAGGGCATATGCTTTTAACCAAAGGACTGCAACCTAACATTTAAGATCTATGCTGAAGTAAAAGAAACAATAAAAGTTACACAAAATTTCACATAATTAGAAGCATTTAAATATTTTCCCAACTAAAAGCCATAATTAGAATAGGAGAGAGAAGTCATCAACTGTAATTGAGAACTCAGATCATCTGAATATTGAGAATAGTATTTGCCTTTAAGTATTTCAGAATTCAGCCATTAGTATCTCTAGGTTTATCTGACAGTTGGTTCTTTAAAAAGTGTTATTGAGTAATATGTCTACACATTTTCTATTCTTTTTAAACAAGTCTTTCATTAGCAATTTATAAACACACTAAAATGTGACATATCCTGTTTTTTTAAAAAAATTTATTGAATTTTTGTGCATTTCATCCAAAAAAAAGTTCCTGGGACCCTATTCATATGAGCCTACAGCAATGGTGTTAGCATGCACATGACATATCCTGGTTTCTTTTTTTTAAAAAAAAATGTTTTATTTATTAGCCAGGTGTGGTAATGCACACCTTTAATTCCAGCAGGTGGATCTCTGTGAGTTTAAGGCCAGCCTGGTCTACATAGTGAGTTCCAGGCCAGCTGGGGCTACAGTGAGACCATGTTTCAAAAAGACCAAAAAAATTTATTTATTATTATTATTTTGTGTGTCTGAGTGTATTGCCCGTACCATGTTGTGCAATGCCCACAAAGTCAGAAGAGGGGATTGGATTCCCCTGGAACTGGAGTTACAGACAGTTGTTAGTCATGTGAGTGCTGGAAACCGAACCCCAGTCTTCTGCAAGAGCAGCTGGTGCTCTTAACCATTGAGCCATTTCTCCAGCCCCATATCCTGATTTTAAAATAATAAAAATTACCCTATGATGTATATTGAATTTTTTCTAGATTTAAAGTTAGAACTTAAATTAGAAAAAAATTTCTATCAGGCTTGCCATCTACTTCTCTTTAAAAGCTTTCTAGCAAAGATAATCATGTAGACTATCTACATGATTTAAATACAGACGGAATCAATAAACATTTGCATGACTGGCCCCAGAACTCAAGAGTATTAGAAGATCTGTCTTATCTCACTGATTAGATGAAGGCAGAAGGGCAGAGCTCTGAGAATGAAATGGCTTTCTTTTGTGACCAGTGCTTCCATTAATATTGCTTAAAAATTACTGTTAAGTCAAAATCCAATTGCAAATACAAAAGAAAAAGGATATATTTGAATGTTGCCTCTAGCAGTTAGAAGCTCTTTCAGAAAATAATGTCTCATTCATGCCTGGTGCTTTCCTTTAATTTTTAGGTCAGCAATAAAGTTTTTCGTGGGTAACAATCTATGACCCTGATGAATCAGGCCTAACCAATCAACTTGGTGTGAAGCTAAATGTATTTTTGTTACATTTTTTATTACAGATTGAACAATAACATTACCTGTAAGTGAACCATCAACATCAATCAGCACTGCTTCATGTTCCCATCGAAAGCCAGCCTTGTTTGGTGTGTGAAAATACCAGATGTCAACAAATTTTGTACTCCAGCCTCCACATCTGTCATTACAAACTCCACTGATAGATGTTACTCCCAGAGCCACACAGTCATGACGGTCAAAATTCATAAAGTATACAGATGATACAGTCAAGCCTTGACTAAATGGGAGAACCAGGCCTTTTGAGGTGCAAAATTCAGATCCCATTCCAAGTTCATCGAGATGACCAACAATTTTGGCATTTTTAATCACTGCTCCATTGGTTTCACCCCATCCTCCAATATAAGGAGCCAGGATCCTCTTGGTCTCAATTCCAGCCTCATAGTTATTCACCATCACAAAGTTATGGAACTGTAGGGCCCCTCCATTGACCCATTCAGCTCCTTTTTGGCAGTTCCACACAATAAGCGAATCAAATACTGCAGGTGTTGGCACTGTAGACGTACAGGATCCTGTTTGCATGGGGAAATATTCTTCAAAAATCCACAATCCAAACCATCCTTGAGAATGAACAGTATTATTAAAAAATTCTCCAAGAGAAATTCTTTTTTGGCAAATGTTTCTGTCATAGGATGGTCCATCAGGGTGGTCATTCATTCTGTACCAAAAGCCAAAGTGAGTGCCACCAGCAGCTGCATTGTGTCGTATGGTGTTGTTGGGATTGGTTACCCAAAATGCAGCTGGGGTCACATCATCATTCAACAGACTAGTACTTTGCTGTACAAAGACTGCCAAGTTATATTGTAGAATGTTGCCATGCTCAATGCCATCTTCTATGAAAAACGCTCCTCCCCTGATATCATATATAACATTCCTCTCAACTAGAAGATGATGGGTATTGTGGATAGTAACAGCTCTGTTGTAGGCCTGATGAATTGCACAGCCCCTTACATAAGATTTGAACTGTAAATCTCCGAGTAGATGCCAGTGTATTGGATATCGTCCCAACCGGAAAGCCTGGCCAGCATGAAACACCTGTCAGGCCAGAAATTACAACTGTTCAATAATCTACATCTACTCAGATCCTCCTTGATCATATTTCCTTATTTCAAAGTGATTTCTAATTTTACATTCACATATGAATATATTTACATTTGTATCCTCATAGTATTCATGTTTATCATTTGGAAATGGTATTTTAACTTCAATACAATGCTTTATACATGCATTAAAGACAATTCTCATTAAGAAATGAGTGAATTAGTGGATGGAATAAATGAATAAACAAATACTTTGTTCACCATATCACCTATGCCCAAACCTTTCACTCTTCTTTTTTTTTATCTCTTGTCTACTATCAAATTTTTCTATTCAACAAAATATAATTTTACTCCTAGAATTTCAGGAAATAAGAGTCCATAAAAGTCATTTTCTTTTCTTTTACTTTGATTCTTATGTAATAAGGAACACTTGAATGTTTTCCATGTGCCAGGCACTGTGCTGTTTTTATGTGCAAATTCACAGTCTTAATCATAGAAGGTCATCAGTGATCACTAACTTCACCTTATACATGAAGAAATTGTAACTTAGACTGGGTATCTTGTTCACACTCACAAAAAGCATGTCAGTCCAAGATGCTCTAGATTATAGGTTGGATGCTGTTACTAACCACTCTGCTTGGTGTTCTTTCAAGTCTATGATCTAATAATCTCATATACAGATGCTGATATGTATGGTTGTGTGTGTAGTTAATATAATGCAGTTTGGTAACGAAAGAAAATATTAGAACATCTATTTCCTATTCCATCTAAAAAGTTAACCATTCTTAACATTTAATATGTAGCTCGATCCTGGCAATCTCACTCAGTTTATACCTCAGATGTCACAGGTATAATTTATCTTAAGAAAAGACTATAACAAAGTGGAAGTGTTGACTGTTACCATCAGTGCTGTCTGGGTGTGCCCAGAATGGGCTTTTAGATTGTGGTATCTTATATTTAATCTCTCTTTCCCTTTCTCCTTTACTGAATACTTGATTATAACTAATAAATCCTGATTATAAACACCAATTATGAAAAAGATACAAAAACCAAAGCTTTATGAAATATTATGGGTTTGAGTGAGTAAAGGCAAACAAGAGTTTAGGCAGCAATTTCAACTAAGTGTGGTTAGGAAAGGGCTCTCTTACGAATAACATTGAGAAAAGACCTAATTAAAATAAGAATGTAAACTCTGCAAGGAGTTGGTGGAGGAGCTTTTAAAACTGATCAAGGAGCAAGTGCAAAGAACCTAAGTCAGGGACTTGCTTGCCATGTTGCATAAGGAGGCCCATGAACCTAACCTATCAGGAATAAGGACAGAATCACAGGAGACAAAGTCAGGGGCAGCTAGGGTTCATGGCCTGTGGTCCTGTAGAAAGGGCTTAAACTTTCTTTTTTAGATGTAATATTAAGCCATTGTTAGGTTTTGAATTAGGGGTGTAACATGATCTGATTTATGCTTTTAAAAAACAGAGAAACCAAAATTCTGCATGATCAAATGAGTGAATAATTGGCTGTATTAGAATGTTTTACTGGTCTGTCTCTGTTATCAGACTGGAAAACAAGATATGACAAACAGCAGGGTCTCAGTACATACTCATTATATGATACTTTAATCAAGCCACTGTGACTAAATAACAATGTCCCTTACCTCTACATATTCTATTCTTCCAGTTACCAAGTTAGTCCCAGGAAAAGGAGCATGGAACATAATGCAGCCTCCAAACTGGTCACTTCCTATTTCTTCTCCAAACTTTCCTTGGAGACATGTCTGTGTAGCAAATTCACCTTTAAAAAAATCATGCTGCAATCTTATTAAGAATTTCCTTCATAGTCATTTACATCTCTTCATCCACATATAATTTCAATCTCAGCCTGGAACACAATTATTATCGATTTGCATCATCCTTTTTCTGTCTTGTTCACCTTTGCAAGTCTTAAAATGTTTAAAGAAGGTGCTAAACAAACACTTGAATGATTGAGTGAATAATGATGATATTTTGTTTATTGTTTCTGAAGCTCTCCTCTCAAGCCTGTGAGTTAACTTAACATAAGCTTGTGCCTGCATATCACCAGAATACACATTATACTACTTAAATCTGACAATCAAGCAGGACAGGAATAATGAGTTCTAGGACAGCTGGGGCTACAGGGAGACCCTGTCTCAAAAAGACCAAAAAGGGGAAGTATTCTTATATTAAACAGTTTGAGACTAGCTTTCATATCCATTGTGACACCTGATGCAGATGGAATGGAATCAGAACACTGCTCATTTGAAATCGAATGCAGTGAGCTTATACTTCTCAATGAGGAAAAACTATTATAGAACTTGTTTCTGCAATTGTTTAATTATTTAATGGATTATAATTAGACTAATGGTTATAAAAATATTCATAGGTGACTTAGAAAAAGATATGTTATGCACAATATAAACACATATTAAGAAGCATCAGTATCCAATTCTCTCTAATGCATATTTATTTGGGATCTTTGAATAACTCATCCCCTTGATGTTAATTACACTCATCGACTTATCTCTGACCAATGATACATAAATAAAAATGACGTATATCATTTCAGAACCAAAACAATTAGATGGTGGTGCCTGATTCTCCAGCCATCTCATTTTTGCTTCAGAGATCGTGAAAGCCCGTATTGAGACAGAGCTTCCATCAGCCTGAATTCTGGAATGTTTATAACCAGCAGACCACCCTGTTGACTCAAATGAATTATAAGTATACCTTTGTCATTTAAAATCACAGACATTTTAGGTTCATTGACTGATTGGAACATGGTGTAGTTCAGTCACTTGAACTAGGAGTAATTTTACTTCCAGTGAACACTTCTGCATTACCTGGAAACATTTTTGGCTGACATAGTGGTGTCGGGGGGGGGGTCACTAGAATTTGATTGGTAAGGCCTGGTATTCTGATAAACATCCTACAATGTACAGGACAGACTCTCAAACAAAGAATGATTTGGCCAATATTGTCAAAGGTGTAGATGCTGAGAACTCTGACTTAGTGTCTTAACAGTTTCAGATCTAAGTATCTATACATTTATCTCCTTAGTTTTCCATCTACCCACTTGTCCATCAAGCCACAATCTTCTATGAATTACTCACTATGATGACTAACTACAATGAATATACTCTCATACATAACTACAGATTTAGGAAAAGAGAAAACACATTGTTAAAGATTTGCCAAATAAATAATCATCAAATATATTTTTCTGTATTTTCTTGATAAATCTAAAGGACAAACTGTCTGAATTACATGTAAAACTAAATATTGAGACCACATAACAAAGGATTGCAAAAATAGAACATAAAAAGTAATCATAAGCCTTAGTTGTTGAGGTTACATTGTAGATGTGTCACTTTAGGCTGGGAACCTCACAGACACTTGTTATCAGCTTGTGACAAGTTCTGTAACTTTGCAAAAAGAAGCTTCTTTGATAGGTGGTGAGAGGTACATTGCTATAAATATAAGGATACACATTTAGAATACAGTAAGAAATTATTTTTGTCGAGGGGTGTGACAAAACTAGGTTTTTCTTTAGGACCTATGACCTGTCCAGTCATGTGTATTTGGCTATGTTTACAGCATCACACATGAATTCAGGGAGAAGAAAGTATATTAATGCATCTCTCAACACTCACCAGCAAAGCTTCCTTATACAGCAGATGGTAATTAACTGAGAAAACCACAGCTGGCCAAAGTGCAAAATAAAAGACTTCAGACTGCATGTCCCAAGACAGGACTCCTCTATTAAGCCTCACCCATCGGAGCTCAGGGATCATTGTGGAAAAGGCTGAACTTATCCCTAAATAGGACAGCTATCAAACTTCAGCCATCAAAGACTCAGGGACCACTGAAGAAGCCAGAAGTGGTGAATGACCACAAAAAAACAGAGTTTTCCAAAGAGCTGACCAGTTATTCATATGAACTTAAGCAATGGTAACAGCAGCAACAAGACCCAGGGAAGTTACAGCAAGACAGAATCCCAGCATAGAAGTGGGGAAGTGGGGAAGAAGACCCAAACTAGCTGAGGAACTATTGGCAACAGGTGATTGCTGGGAGAGGGAGAGTTGGTTTCCTTTAAGGCTGTGGCATTGGGTAAGTTAACCAGGCTCCAGTGGATGGACATGCACTGTAGGACATTTTGGGGCTCAATAGGCCTTAACATATATGATATAGTACATGAAATCAGGTGAGGGGCTAAGATAGGGTTGCAGATAGGGAAGGGGGTCTAAAAATGATAAAAATACATTGTCTAAAATTAACAAAAATTCAATAATATTTAAAGTAATCATAAGAATAGAAAGAGACTTTATCAACAGATTCCAAGCACACTTATTTCTTCCATTGCGGTGACAGTGTTAATCGTGTTTCCTCAATATATTACAAATACTTTAATAATGCTACTTGAAGATAATATTAGTATTTCCTAATTTCCATGTTTAATATCTATAAAGAATATTTTTAAGTTTAAAATAAAAGAATACATTTCAACATTGCATAATTAAATTTTGACAAATGTTAGCTGAGCTCTGTCAGCCATGGGGCAGCTGCTAAGACTACCTGTGTCAAATCCATCAGGACATGCTGGAATTTTGTCATTCCATTTCACATTATCAGATCCTCTTATAACAATATTTCTTGTAAGAATTCCAACTTCTGCCCTTGCTTCAAATGTGCTTCCATCAGGGAGTGTGACAGTGATTCCTAAGTGAGTGTACTTCAGTGGACTAGTTAGTATTATGTTTATTCCATTGGCAGACACAGATGCAATAATCTTCTTTTCATTCTCTTGTTGACTGTGCCTGTAAAATTTTTAGCAAAGAAATTCAAAGTTAACATGTGCATTTATCATATTTGCATCATGCCAGTTGAATGCTTCAGTCATAAATGAGGACATTTTGTCATGCTGTAGTCTGAGGAGAAATTTGAAAATAGTATGTTACACTTAGAGTAAGATTTACAGACTCATTTTAATTAAATTAAATATTTTACAAGTGCTACATTTGTTCAAGATATGCGAAAGGGCAATTAATTTACGACTTTAAAGATTATATACACAGCTTCTTAAGTGAGGACGACTTCATAGGCCCAGCAATGACTGAAGATATTTCCGGTTGTCACTATAGTAGGAGTGTATGTGTGCTATTGGCAGCCAATGGGGAGAGGGCAGAGAAGTTTCTAAGCATTCAGTAATGAATAGGATAGCTTTCCACTTGAAAGATCTGGTCCAAAGTGTCAATCATGCCTAAGTAGAGAAGCTCTTACAATGAAAACCACTTAAGTTTATGAGCAAGGAAATTATTAAGTTGAAGTTTATTTCTCCAATGTACCTGAAATTCCAGCCACAGTCAATGAGCCTTGCAAACTCTATGACATACACATTAATAAATTTAGTTAATCAACAAATATTTATTGAGAGTTTAGCTTGCTTTCCAGGCATAGAGCTATACCCTAGGGATAGTGTAGAAAGTCCCTTTGACACCAGGCTTGGTGGCACACGCCTTTAATCCCAGCACTCTGGAAGCAGAAGCAGGTAGATTTCTGTGAGTTTGAGGCCAGGCTAGTCTATATGACTTTGATACAAGTGTGTGATTATCTTATCTTGTAGTTTCTACAAAGTAAGCTTGGTGCTATCATTCCATCAGGACATGCTGAAATTTTGTCATTCCATTCCATATTATCAGATCCTCTTATAACAATATTTCTTGTAATTTCTTGTATGTAGACTTAGGGGAGTTGCCTTGTGTCTTCTTTTGGTTCTTCTATCTGCTGAAAATTCTTTTTATCTTTTAAATATCAGTTCAAATGATAGTGTTACATGTAAAATAGTTTAAAAATTAACTGTCTCAACTTTCCCAACCCTTCTAGATTTCTAGTACAATCAGCCTAATTCCCTGTTGGTACTCCAAGCAACCACACTGCGGTCCTTTGCAGTATTTATTTTCATGTCCCTTCCACTGGCCTGGCTGTTCCTTGAGTTATTTTGTATTCTGAGCAATCAGCAAAAAAAGAAAGAAGCCATAATCATGCATGTATGAGACACTGAAAAACTAAGTTAAACTGAGAGCAGGAAAGGAAGGGATAGCACAGGGGCAGAATTGAAGGAACTTGGTGATACACTGGAAGTGAAAGACAGTGGGGACTGGGGGATGACTGGGAATGTGGTGAGGAAAAATTAGGCTCTAGAGTTGTGGAAGAGAAAAGGGGATACTTGGATTGAAGTGGATCAAATAGACACATACTATTTAAACAGTTTAATTTTTTTTTTAAAATAGAGGATAATGAGGAGAGAACTGAGAAGATATAGAACAAAGTTGCTTTCCAAGATGGCAGGTGGTCACAGGAATCTAAAATCCCAAAAGTACCCATAGGAGGCGCTGTAAGGAAAGGGAAGGAAAGATGGAGCTGTAAAGATATCTAAGAGTAAATCAATAGTCAAGATCTCACAGATGGCATGTGGAAGAAGTTTAGGCTGCTCTGTCTTGAATTCTTAGATTCAGATGACATACAGAGTTATTTGGGGGGGGGAGTGGTAGTTTTTTTGTTGTTTTATTTTATTTTATTTTATTTTATTTTAGGGTCTCATATATTCTAGGCTCCTCGTGAATTCACCATGTAGCTGAGAATGACCTTGAACTTCTGATCCCCTTGGCTGTACATCCTGAATGCTGTCATTAAATGTATGAGAAGCTATGCAGGGCTGGAGAAAAAAGTCAAGGCTTCATGCATGCTAGACAAGCACTCTACCAGCCTTGCTACATCCCTAACCCTAGAAAACAAAGTTGTGAATGATATTCATATATGCCATATACACTATACATAAACACGTTTTCTTTCTCTTGTAGGGATGCCTAATGTTCAAGAATCACTTACTTTCATTGAACATCTCATCTCACTGTGTCCCCCTGGCAGTTGTATGATGTAGGTATTAATAGCACTGCAATTCTGCTGAAGCAGAGAGAGACCACATAAGATAGTCCTGGGCTGGTAGTGGTGTTGCTGGGAGTAAACATGGGCCAACTGACATTAGAAGTCATTTTCTTAACCTTGAATTTATAATTTTTCAGATAGGATTCACCTACTAAATAATAAATGAGATTTGGAGGGGAATCCTTTAATTCACGTTTCTTAAAACCAACTCTATTCTAAATTGTAAACTTGCTCTTTTATAAAGAAAGGTTATAAATAAGGATTTTTCTATTCTATTAATAAGCCCTGTGATTTTCCTCCTTTTTCATTTTGCAATTATGTAATTAAATTCTCTTTCACAAAGAGAAAAAAATGAGCACTTACAAAGCTTAGCACGTAAGTGTATATTTAGCTCTTCCTACATCTGCATGCCTATTTTTAACTTGAAATATGGCAAAATCAAAATGGCAGTTTGCATTTTAATTTTAAATTCAATCGTGGCTTTGACATATTTGTTTCTTGTCATAAATAACTCTTCATTTCCTGATAAGCATAACCACATCCAGTCTTAGTATTTGTCCCCTCTTCCTGATATACTTTGGGTAGCTATATATTTTTTTAATTTCTTAATTACTGTAATATATAACTAAACACAAATTAGGAATCATAAGCAGTTTCAATATCTGAAAGGTCATATTAGCCATCGTGCTTTTAATAATGATTTCTTCCTTTTTTCTCAATCATTACCACCAATTTTGTTCTTTGGGAAACACTGCCCAACTGTAAGGTAAGAGGTTACTAGTGGCTTTCAATCTTTTTCTCTGGTGACCTCAAACAAAGATGCTCATTTACATTTTCACATTCATGAATATATTTAGTTAAAGCTCCAAGTCAGATGTTTTCAAAGACTTTCAATAGCAGAAGGCTTCTTTCCAATGAAATCTTACCTTAGAACTTCACCATGTAAAACAAAATATTTTATTATTGCACAAACTTTTATTTTGGTTCAGATTTATTCACATTCTAATAATAAATTCAACCACTGATAAAGCACATTGGTGATCAATTGAATGGCAACATTTGACACACATGTGTTTGGTTATTTACATTTCTTTACTAAAGGATTCAAGTTTAAGTCGAACAGTTTGGAGCCTTCATAATCATTCCTCCTTTACATACTTTAAAAAATAATCTGTATCCCACATAAATCAACATCATTAGGCCTGCAGGTCTCCATACCTGTGCCCAGTGCTTGTAATTACTATGATGTCCCCCGCCTTCCATGTCACTGCTTCTTGTACAATCAAAGTCCGTTCTCCTGCCTTTGTGGTGTGAGCCAATCGAGTCCAGACCACAGGAATAGGCAGACCTGGAGCCCAGATGCAAATCAAACATTTCTTCAGACACACTTTCTGGACTACTACATACTTTATGCATGTTAATTTTTCTGCATTAAATTCATTTGGGAAGGTCTATTTTACTTTAGGATTTTATATTTTTCTCAAGAAAGAAAGATGAAAAATGCTTGTTTTGGAAAAATAACAATTAGGTTTATAATAATGTTTGCTTTTATAAAATTAACTAACCATGCTTTCACAATGGTGTACTCCAGTTATGACAAGTTTCTTTATAGAAACACGATATAAATAAATTGTGATCATATTGACACAATGGAAGTGGAAAATCATTATCTTTGCCATGGTTGATAGGACCTGCTTGACCCATGTACTTTGTAACATAAAAGCATAAAAACTTGGGACAAGAGTGAGAGTTGACAGCAAAACAATTCTAATTTCCACTGACCATTTTTAAACTTATTAATTAGTATAATGACACAAATCAATTCCACAAAACAGGGTCTGAAAATATAAATTCAGAACAAAAACAAAGCTATCTTTATTTTGTATTTTGTAGTATGTAGGGCATTTATAATCATAATATTCAACATTCACAAAGCTATCAATTATTAAAATATAGAAGACATCAACTATAAAAAAAAACTCAACTCAGCAGAAAGAATGTAAGAGCTAGAGGAAGGGATTGAGTGTTAACTGGAAGTGTCCTGGGACCACTATGCCTGCCAGCAACCTATAGTCACACCTCCTTCCCACACTCATTGAGGAGTTGTTACCCCTCCTACCCAATCAGTTGACCTTAGCTGCATGTGGGGGAGGGGCTAAGGTTATATAAGGCAAGAATGCCATGAGGCACCTCTCTTGCCACTTTGTGCAGCTGCCAGAAAGTCACAGGATCTATATTTGAACTTTCCAGTGCACTCATAAATGGGGAGAGGGGGGCGCCCATCATCTATAAATAAACCCCCACCCTGCTCTGTTAACAAGCCCAATACGGCATGTTAGGATTTAAAAAAAAAAAGAACAGCTAATGGAAACTTTCATTATTCCAAAGTTGACCCCATGTTGTCAAATCCTTTGGTCCTTTACTTCTTTCTTTTTTTTTCAAATCTTATTTTTCATTTTTATTTTATGTGTATGCATGTATTGCCTGCATGTAGGTAAGTGAGCCCTTCTCGTGCAATGCCCGTGGAGGTCAGAAGAAGCTGTCGGAGCCCCTTGGGCTGACTGGAGTTATGACAGTTATTAGCTGCCATGTGGGTGCTGGGATGTGAACACGGTCTTCTGCAAGAACAACCAGTGTTCTTAACCACTGAGCCATCTTTCTAGCCCTGGTCTTTGATTTCTTATTCCTAACCCCAACCCCACTCCTTAAACTTCATTGTATATATATTTTTATGTAAGATGCTTCATGTTATTTCTGGAAAAATGTGCTAAAAATTGCCTTTCTTTGAAATAAATAAATACTCAACTCATGCATCTTTAAAATAATCTCAAACATGATCAAAACCATTTTAGAAGAACATATATAGAAAAGTCCTACTATAACTTTATTTTTTGTGTTTTAGAAATATCTTGTTTCCAGATATAAAAATGTAAGAAATCACAACCATCTGACTCCAGAGCTAGTGACTTTTCCTATCGATAAATAAGTAAATAGTCATTACGTACTGTGCAAATAGAAACAATGGTGTTTGGTCATTACAAAAAAGAACTGTGAGGAAAGCATGGGGATAGTTGAGAAGGGAAGAGTGACTTTGGTTCTGAGACTTGCTTGTGTGGGGAGCTTCCCCAGCTAAGGGGTGAGAAGAGGGAACATGGAGATAGAGGATGCCAAAACAGGAGACGCCCTGAGAGTTTGCACTGGAGTGACTTAGCCTACCATGTAGATCCAGTGTGCCCTCTCGCACAGCCAGTGTCTTGGCACCATATACAGGGAGTTCAGGTGACCGAAGGTGCCCATGCAGAGTGATGGTGGCCTTGTGTTGAAATGGAGATGCTTCTGTTCCAACCTGCAAGAGTTCACAGGCCTCACTCAGAAAACTATAACTCAGCAATTCACAATTCTAATCATGCAAACACAATTCTTTTTCTCTTTCTTCCCTCTTTGAGAATTTATTGTTTAGTTGCTCATATCTTTCTTTCAAAATGAGCCTTAAATTTTTTGTGTATGTGTATGTGTGTATGTGTATGTGTGTATGTGTGTGTGTGTGTGTACTTGTTTGTGGAGACTAAAAGACAATCTCTGTAGTCATTCCTCTGGGGTGTGTGTGTGTGTGTGTGTGTGTGTGTGTGTGTGTGTGTAGAATAGAAGACAGTCTCCATTGTTATTACTCGGATGCTGTCCACCTTTTCTTTTCTTGTGGCAGTGTCTCTCATTGGCCTAGGACTTACCAAGTATACCAGGCTGGCTGGTCAAGAAGCTCTAGGGATCTGCTCTGGACTACAAGCAAACACCATCACAGTAGGTTTATGTGTGTGTGTGTGTGTGTGTGTGTGTGTGTGTGTGAGGTGTTGGGGATTAAACTCAGGTTCTTGTGTTCTCAAGCCATGTACGTTGCTGAATGAACCATCTCGCAAGCCCCACAAGGCTTGAATTTTCTAATATGCCAAATATGTAGCACCAGACTTTTGGAAAGCATATTGACTGACATAGACCTGGGTTTTGGTTTTTTTTTTCTCCTGTTTTAAATTCTACTATTTTATAACACACAATTATTTTCCTATTAAAGTTCAGGGATATTCTGAGAACCACATCCTACAAGTGTGTTATACTAACAAAACAGATCTAAGCAAAGATAAACTCAGAAAAGTTTGGCAGAATTAACTAATTTTACACATAGTATTTTTTAAAAAATCAGTTAAACTGTTGTTTTCTCTACCTGAAGAATGCCTCCATCTGTGATTAGAATATTTTCTGCCTGGAGTTCAATATCAGCTTCATCAAATATTAAAGTTCCACCTATGAATGACATAATTTTAATGTCATAGAGAAAGATATTATTAAAAGTTGCTGGCTAAACTGTATATTAAACCTTAACCTTCACTGATGTCTTACTAGTACTATGTACTTTGTAACATAAAAACAAAAACTTTGGACAAAACCCTGAGAGTTGACAACAAAAGAAATTCTAATTTTTATTGACAATTTGTTTTTCTAAAAAATATCATTATATAGTATAACTATACAAGTTAATTCAGTGTTAAAACAGTGTTTTAAAGTATAAATTAAGAACAAAAGCAAAGTCATCTCTATGGAAACCATTATAGCATCAACTTTAGTTTGATTTATAAAAAATTTAGCTTTGAATTTTTTACTATTTTGTATTAGCAACAGCAATAGCTTGACTATTATTATTGTTATTGTGTAGCTTTGGCAGGCCTGTATTTCACTATGTAGACCAGGTTGACCTTGAACTTACAGAGGCCCTTGCTCTGTCTCTGGAGTGCTGGGATTAAAGGTATGTACCACACCCAGTTTGACTCGCCTTATTAAGAATATACCAAGATGCTTTTCTAAGATTGATATAAATTTGAAACAGTAAAAATTTTTATATAAGATCCAATCCTTAATGAGTTCAAATAAATGAAACATTTTTATAATTGTAAGAGTAAAAAAATCATAAAATTATAGAAGTTTTTAAGCATCTAAAGCCATTATGGCAAAGTTTCTGTACAAAAGCCCCAAGAAATTTATTATTATCATTTCATGATTCTTTTATATATAATTTTAATTGTGATTATTTCAAAATTTTTAGTGTAAAAGTAGAATATTAAGAAGCAGAGAGAAGCTCAGGCAACAACAGACAGTGACAATAGGGTCACAGGTGAAGCTGAGGATCACAGTCAACTTCCAAGCACAGTCAGGGGTCTCTTCAGGATGGGCGTAAACTGCAATTTGTGATCTTTGGGATTTACCACATCAGTATTTTTTGAGGTGGGAAATGCTGCCAGTACAGGGACATAGTATTAAAAAAAATCAGTTAAACTTCTGCTTTCTATACCTGAAGACCGCCTCCATCTGTGATTAGAAACCCCCCCGACCCCCACCATTGCCTCCACACAGTTACTGAAACAAAAGTTTTAAGGAAGAATATTTAAAGAATGCTGGTGGTAACACACTGAATAATATAATCACAAATATATTTTAAAACCATAATATAAAGATGGATGCTCATAATCATGAAGTTTGATTAAATTAACTTTACAGAAGTATTCAACATAGTTTAATAAACAGATTTTCAGATATTTACCCTGAATGAGCAACATCTTTAGAACAGGGGTACTTTGGTCCAATAGAACTGTCTGTCCTTTTGTAATAACAGCAAGTGACCCCTCCTCTGGTGGAGCTTTTCCTCCCCATGAGAAGTTGGAGGACCAAGCATCAATATATAAGAAGTCAGCATTCTCCTATAACAGAATGTGAATGGCAGTAAAATTCAGAGGATTTAATCAGAAAACTTAATTTCTCAAAGAAAGGTATCTGGAACCATATATAAAATATAATAAAGTAATAAAGTATAACTCACCTTAACTATTTGATAGCTACCTCTTTATTATCTCAAGATAATAATAAAGTGAAAAAACCATTACTAATTACCCCACAATAGACAATAATCAAAACCTAAAATAACAAAACTGTTGATAATAATCAAAAAGAAAACCCCCATCTCATATGCAACTTTAAATTTAGTATAGGCACAGTTCAATTATCTTTTGGAGATATTAAAGTAAAGCATACACCAGCAATCAGCCCACCCTCTAGCTTACTGGACTCATTACTATGATTGCATTCCCAGCAGCACTATTACCGATTTGGCCAGGCCGATGTTTCTGATGCTAAGGTGAACTGGAGCCCTCCCTGACGGAGTGTGAGCACTTGTCATGCAGATAATATGTGTCTTATTGGAATACTGAACATCACATTTGTCTGTAGCTATGGTGATATGAACATCCTGTGTATTTTCACTGTAAAGAAAGAGAGGGATAACAAAACTATGTTTATCTCAAACTTCTACTTCACATATTCAGAGATGCCTGCATTCATATAGTATACAATCAAGGGTCATTCTTTATGGTCTATCAAAGTATGGTTGTCACTTGCATTAAGACTTGGAAATACTGGTTAAGAAAAATTAGTTGGCATATAGCCAACTAATATATGAACTAGCAAGTATTCTAGTGATAGAAAGATTTTGGTCTTCATAAAACTTTTAGCAAATTTATAAGCCTTAGAAATTAGTCTCCATTTAAAAATGCAAGCTTAGTAATCATAAGTACTTGAGGAATTAAACTAGCATTCTATCACTGATATGATGATTTTAGTCAACTTCATCCACTGAAGAATGATGGTGGTGCAGCTGAGTAATGGGGGTCAGAAGGAGCCTAGCCTAGTACAGGGGAATAGATCTGATATAGGAAAAGATGGTTTTTTGACCCAATGAAACAGGTCACGTTTGGAGTTGATCTAATAGAGACGGCAGAACAAGAAAGCAATTTATGTTTGTGAAATTATTTGTTAGATTACAAGTCACCTTACCTCTCTAAGTTTAGTCTTCTGATCAGAACATGAGATATAGTGTTATTAGGCCAACATAATAATTACTTGAACAAATAAAAAACCTAACTTAAATTTAGTTTTTAAGAATGGATCTGAGCTCAGAGGACACCTGTTCCCCTAGCTATCTCTTGGAACCATCTGTCTCTTGGAACTATCTGCTGGAACTCTGTCCCTAGAATTGTTTCTTTCAGTCTGGCCACATTCATAATTTTATTCAAAATGGTTTCTCTAACTTCAGTTGGGGAAATACAAGCTTTGCTCCAACCTAATCTTAACAGACCATATGGCCTTTTCACTCCTAGTTCCAGCATATCCCATTCATCCGATATCACTGTCTTTCCCAGTCTCCACTGTATGCAATGGAGATGGGTGTACCAGCTTTCTGTCTTGATATGTTAATTATCATCCATTATCTTTTTGGATAGAGTATCAATTTGAGGTTCCCAAGGGAACAGCATAAGTGGCCTGGTCACAAGACACAAGAGTACATGACCTTGCTGGGGTGTTTTAAATGGACATAATCTAGACTAAAAGTCATTCCCACAGTGGTATAAAAACACCTCATATGATGAAGAAGGAACTTTCTGTGAATAGGAAAGTGCCTAGCACAGAGAAAGTATTCAGCGAATATTAGCTGTTAATACTGTTTTGTACCTCAAGTGTAGCGTAAGAACAGAAAAGGACACACTACAAGACTATATCTAATTATCGTACAGCATAGGAGAGAGCGGGTATAATGGCTTATGTCTAGAAACAATGTGTGATTGTGTGAAGGCAGTACCTGAATCCAGATCCCCTGACTGTGAGTCTGGTCCCTCCTGTGGTGCTGCCTCTCTTGGGAGATATTTCAGTGATGAACGGAGTGAGGGACATGCTGTATGTAAACAGAGCTGTGGACCGTGATGAATCTCTCCCATTGACCACACTCACTTCACAGGCTTGTTCGGGCCCCCTGCCTTTGAGAAAGGAATCAGACTGAGTACAGTTCTGCCATCAGGCCAATATTCACTGCCAAACCTGTAAATATTTAATTATCTTCCTTTTCCCACGATCAGTTTCTCTTTCTAGGCTGTATATGAACCAACACAATCTTTAGAAACTGCTGCAAACATCACAAAACCTCTGTACATTATCAACAAGGGATGGAAAAAGAAGTTCTCAGACTCTGTGAACAGTTCTGAAAACCTGCCAGCTTAGTCTCAGTTGGAGGATCCAACATTGCAAATGAGACAGGGAGAAGGAGAGACCCCAAGGGCAACCACGGGGGCATCAGCAAGGGCAACACTGGGGCGTGGGGGAGGCAAACACCACACTGACTCCATACAAAAATGTAAGAAGGATGAGGAGCCAGTGCTGAGACCCACAACAAATTTTCGTGGTGAAATAAGACCATATGTAAAAAGGTAATTTTTCTTCAAAATTTCTTGTTTAAAATACCAAATAAAGAGTCACAATTGTTTATTATATTATTTATGTTGAAAATGTTTGCACATAAAGCATATTCTTTTCTAAAAATATTTTTATTTATTATTTTTATGTGTATGTGTGTATTGCCTGAATGTAGGTAAGTGCACCTGTGTCGTGCAATGCCCACGGAGGACAGAAGAGGCTGTCGGATCCCCTGGAACTGGAGTTAGGGATGGTTGTTAGCTGCCATGTGGGTTCTTTTTTCATCTGAAAAATCAATCAATTGATCTCAGCACTCTGAAGACAGAATTTGAGTCCAGCATGATCTACATTGTGAGTTCTAGGCCAGCCAGGCCTACATAGTGGGACCCTGCCTGAAAAACTTCTTTGAATACTTTCTTAAATTTTGTTAAATAATAAAGAAAATCTATTACACAATACTAGATGTTTAAAATTCACATCCAACTAAAGTAAGGTTAATAATATCTCCATTTAACAGAAAAATTGAAGTAAGGAAGAGTTTAATAACCTAACTGGGGACACAGAATAAGTGGCAAAATTGAGATTTGGGGATTTTTTAGTACTCACCTCTAACCACTAACTGAAGAAGAGTTAAAATAACAGCAAATCACAGACTGTGTTCTGGATACTCATTTCTTACATATGTTAACCTTATAATAATCCTATAAGGAATGCTACTGTGATTAATCCTACTTTATAGATGAAGACACTGAGGAACAGAGAAGTTCATAAACTTTCCCAGTGATACAGTTAGGGTTCAAATCTTGTCAATGAACAGCCAAGGTTCAAAACCATTTGGACTAAGCCATCTTTAAAGTCTAAGAAGAACTAAAGGCATACTCTGTTTGGAATGCCCAGTAAACTAAGAGCCATCAGTTAATGTCATAAATTGAGGACCTTCAGAATTACAAATGTAGAAAACAATATTCTGAATAAATTCTTAGAAGTCAGGTCAGCCATAAAAGTGACTCAATTACTTCCAAAGAATGCAACAACTTGAGGAAAGATGGATTGCGGCTTTTATAAAATTAACATTTCTCGAAGGTTGCCACCCTTTTTAGAGAGCTTACCTTTATTAGGTGGAACCTCACAGAACAGTGTTGTAGAGTCAGACACAAACCTGTCAACTGCACATTCAGAGCCACAGACCAATATGATTGAATTCTGTGGATTAAATCCAGCACCTGTCACAGTCAAGGTCTGGCCACCACCAAAGCTCCCTAAGGAAGAAAAACACAAGAAAATTCAATAAATTAACAGTAAACTTCCTCTCTGTACATACTTGCTTTATTTAAAAGATTGAAATAGAAGTTATAGTAAATGAGCTTTCTTAGATGTAAAATTTATTACATTATTAATAAAACAAAATATCTTTTGATTGTAGCAATTTCAATTTTCAATAAATAAATGTTACATCTGATAAATAAACTACCTCTAGGAACTAAAATTTTATTTAAAAGAGATGTCATAAAGAATTTCAGAGTACTCAAAACTTATGTGCAGCATTATTACTTCAGTTGAATACATCTATTACACATTTAAAAAGTTTTTACCCATAAAAGTAATTTTCAACTAGGAAAAATAATATTTTGTAGAAATAATTGAATGCCAATGATGTCTAACTATAATTTTAAAAATTCCATATGGTGGGCATGGTTGCCCATGCCTTTAATCCTAGCACTTGGGAGGCAGAGTCAGGCAGATCTTTTTGAGTTCAAGGCCAACGTGATCTACACAGTGAGTTCCAGGACAGTTGGGGCTAGAGGTAGACCCTGTCTCAAAAACACCAAAAAGAAAAAAAAAAAAAAATCCATGTGGAGCCAGGTGTAATAGTGCATGCCTGTAATTCTAGCACTTGGGAGATAGAAATCAGTCTGGTTTACATAAGGCAGCTCGGGCTATAGGGAGACCTTATCTCAAAAAGACAAAAAAAAAATTCCATATGCGACTTGACGATTTATACTAGCAAGAATTATAAATAAATTATATGGTACTAAGAGAAATACAAAACCTAATCCTTTGGAATGATTAATTTATCTGATATGCTTATTTGTTTGATAAATGAAGTATTTTTGTGTGCAGGAAGTACACGTTTTATCAGTGTTTTAAACATACACTTTTTCTAAATAAGTGTTTACTGAAATAACATAAAATATTTATCTGTTATATTCAGGATTACCTTGCCTTGGATGGATATTCTGAATGTAAAGTGGGTACTCAAATACCACAGAAGACAGAGCAGAGCCTTTTGTTTTATGAAACATCGCCACAGGAAAAATGCCCCCTGCGTGATCTCCCACAATGCACTGCAGCACACTATCATTGACGGTGGTCACATTACATGCACTGTCATTTATCATCACTGAAACTTCTGAGATATCAAACCCAAGGTTAAACCCAGTTATTTCAACTTCAGTTCCTTGTGGACCTTAAAATAAAAGGGAACAATATAAATATGTATCTAAATTCCAATACTTTCACATGCACCTAAAGAAATACTGTTTTACTACTATGAATAAAACAGTGATCGGTATTTTAAACTGTATAAACATTAGCATACATGTTATGTTATAAAAATTTTGACCTCAACAAATACTAGCCTGTTGTACATTAATTACAAATGAGTTACTCAGTGTTCACTGTTTTCTACCCCTTCTGTGCATTTTGACTTCTAAGTTATTTCTTCAAACCGTTAAAAAGACAGAAAGGGAACTATGGATACCTGAGCAGGGCATATAGTATTTTTGTAGAAATAGCTGAATTCCAGTGATGTCTAAATATGATTCTTAAAAAATTCTACATGTAACTTGAGCATTTAAAACCAAATATTTTAAATAAATTATATAGCATTGAGAAATATAAAACCTAATATTTTATAATTATTAATTTATCTTGTATGCTTATTTGCTTGATGAATGAAGTACAAGATTTAGCAGGGTTTTAGGAATATAGATTTTTCATATATTGGACTTGGAGTTGGTGT